ACTTCTTTTGCTTAAGTGCTGCAGATCAATTTCATGAAGATCAAACTTCTCTGAAGGTTAGGTAGCATCAAAGTGGTTTACATCGCAGAGAGATAAGTTTTTCATTTCACTTCTACAGTGATATAGTTGCAAATAATGGACACATGCAAAATAAAACTTAGGCACTTCTGAACTTTTAATAAAAGCTTTTCAGTTCTCCCCTGATAAGCTTTCTTTCTTTCTAACATAAATTGTGGGGTAAACCTAAGCTCTTTATTTATAGAATGATGTTTTAATATCCAGCTTTAGTGTAAAAAAACTTCAGATGGAGATAATCAGCACCGACAATTTGCTTTCATTTCTTTATTAGGCAAATTGTAGTATTCGTTAATGGCCCATAAAGCATCTGAAATTGAGTATACACCATTGCATTTTTAACTTTCTATTTAGAGCTGTCTTGCAACTAAAGGTTGTTTGCTTTGTAGCTTCAGCTATATAGCACCTGGGCAGCTTCTAGTATGTTTAATTGATTGCATTTACATGATGCACATATCAAAAGACTTCCTCACCCCAAGATACGAAGATACTGTAGTGAAAAATTATAGGGTGTAGCCATTATTTAATTATGCAAAGACTTATAAAACTATATAATACCACCACCACCCCCAAAGAGATTCTCTTTATCAAAGTTACTTTGGATTTTAATTGGAAACTTTGGTTGAGCAGCTCTAGCTTTTCTTTGTATCTGAATATATACATTTCTTTGTAAGTAAATTGTTTTTTGAACTGGAATACCAAGCTTTTGTTTTCTTGAGCCACAAAAATAGTATCAAAATCACAAAAATATTAAACATTTTCTTTTATCTAATCAAGAGTCTTTAATTGAATATCTTTCATTGAAATTTAATTAGTGTCAAGTACACAAAGGAAGTACAATTTGACTGCCTTCTGTACAATGTTTCAGGCTATGTGTTAGATACTTTCATATAATTTCTAGAAAGGATGCATTTCCCTTTATTTGTGGAGACTGTAAGGTCTTTGCCTATGATTTAGCTATAATTCATTTTATGAATTAAGGGATATCACTTTTTTATTTTTCTAGGAATCCTTAATTCCAGTTTTTTAACCTAGTGTTTATAACTTATATAGTGGTAATCAGGCAATAACATAAAGGTCATTCTTTGAAGTCGTGAGAGCATGTTCAAGTTTTTGTGGCTACATGCTGTTGCCCATGTCTTTGAAGTTCACCATTAGTTTTTTTTTCTTTGAGACAGGTTGCTCTGTCACCTGGGCTAGACTGTAGTGGCATGATCATAGCTCACTGCAACCTCCAACTCCTGGGCTCAAGTGATCCTCCAACCTCAGCCTCCTGAGTAGCTAGGACTACAGGCTGGAGCCACCATGCCCAACTAATTGTTTTATATTTTTCTAGTGATAGGGTGTCTTTATGTTGCTCAGGCTGGTCTCAAATTCCTGCCCTCAAGCAATCCTCCCACCTGGCCTCCTGAAGTACTGGGATTACAGGCATGAGCCACCACACCTGGCCCACCATTAGTTTTAAAATTTGCAACAAATTAAAGACAGATTTTTTAGTATTTGAATTTTGTGTTAACTTTAAATTTATTTGCTTCTGTGGCTTTATGCTATATTTTTCTGTTTAACGTTACTATTTGCTTGTGTTTTTTTTCTATATCCATTAAGCATATTCAACAGTCATGTAATTTAACCATTCTAATAATTATATATCTAAGATTTCAGAACTTCTAGAGAGATCTAAAAAAACTGACATCATTTTCAAAGAATAAAGAATCCATGACTTTTTGAAAAAAGAGTTTTCATGAGACAGTTTATGTTCTTAATTCTGCCAAAATTGGCTTAAATTTTTTTAGTTGTTTGTTCATTTCACAGCTAACTAGAAATTGAGTAATCTGTTAGCTGTTTATTACTATGCTTTTCAAAAGACTATAACAGAATTGCTTATAATCTTGAGATGATCCAGTCTTGGGGTATACAGTACTCTGAGAGTTACGTTACTATATGTAACTCTAAGGTAGAATTTAGTTTGAATGGTGTTTGGAGAGTTCCCCCAAAGTATTAGGATTTATTCTATTTTATGTAATTTAGAATGCTTTATATGGTTTTATTGAATCATGTGACCTTAATATGAAAAATTATTAGCATATTTATAGAACTTATTTTTGTAAAAGTCTTGTTTTCAAAACAAATTATTTCTTATAACGGTTATACTTTTTATTTTTGAAATTTTCTGGGCTATATTTTGCTATAGCAGATTTGCACATTCATGTGAAGATGTTATAATTTACTTCTTTGGAAGAGTCAAGGCAGGATTCTTTAAAGCAAATCTTTGTCTAATTGGTTAGGAGTAAAGTCTTTAAAAAGTCTACTTCAAAATATATTGAGCAGCCAATATAATGGTAGTATTCATAAACTGACCCATGTATTACGAGTTGGAAGTTATGTTACCAGCGGAGGAAAATGTCCATTTAGATGCTGAATTCTTTTCATGGTTAGAACAGGATAACACACCAAGGAAGTGAGCAAAACACCGTCTGCCTTTGAGAGTGAGTGGCACTGGACTGCATGTCTGTGAGTGAGATGTAGTAATATTCTCAGGAAGATGGGGAGCACATTTCCTGAAATTCCGTGAAGTTTATATTCTTTCCTCTTATTATATATCAGGTGAAGATAAGAATGCCTGCATAGTACATTATGTTGATATTAGAGTAGGAGACTTTCATGTAGTTAAATTGAACCTTTCCCCCCTCTAACAAATCCAGTGGCATGCGACAAATCCTTGAATTTAGAGCTTGGGCTGTGATTTTAGTTTTTTCCCCCTCTTTCCCTCTTATTATGTCTTTATCCTCTTCCCAAATGCCCTCAGAGAGGCCATGGTCTTACTGAAGGGGATAGACAAATACCCATATAGTGACTATGTAGTCCTGTTGTGGAGGGGAACTTAGCCGAGGACATTATCAGGGAAGACTTCCTGGAGGAAAAGGGCTGTGTGTTAAATTCTGAAGACAGAGTAAGAGTTAGCTAGGCAAAGGGGCAAGGAGAGTGGCTCGGGTGAAAGGAGCAGCCTTGGTAGAGGCTGGGGCTTGGGGAGAGTGCTGTGTGCCTGAAAAGCTCCGAGCAGCCCATGTTCTGGAGTTCAGGGTGAGAGGGCTGCCTCAGTGAGGGAGGATGCTGGAGAGAGCCTGGTCATGGAGGGCTTTGGAGGAGCTCGGTTTTTATTAAAACTGACAAGAGAGGGTGGCAGTGAGGGGTTTCAGCAGAGAGTAACCTTTTGGGAAAATATTGTTGGTTTTGCCTCTGCTGGCAACTCTGCTGAAAGAAAAGATTGGGATGGGCCAGAGTAGTCTGTCCCTTTGGGACCCATCCATTCATTTGTCTATTCACAACAAACATGTTTTTAGTATCTACGGGAGAGGAGTGGGCATACAATAGTAAGCAAAACATACTTGCTTTTTGGAGCTTATAGATGTCAGAAATTGATTCAGTATAGAATGTTCTAGGAACACATGAAGGACACCTAACCCACAGTGCAGAGGTTGGAGGCAGGGAAGGCTGTCTTGAGAGACTGGCATTGAAATGAGCCCAAAGAAGAGTGGAGAGGCGAGAGGCAGATGCAGATGGAGCCTGGGTGCTGCAGAGAGGCTGCTGTGGAGTGCGAGGGGGCACTGGTCAGAGGGGAGGCCGTGGCAGGGCTAGTTGGTGCAGTCACTCGTGAAGCATGTTTCTCCCTAAGGACTGAATTGGGGGTCCTTGGAAGGGTTTGAAGTGGGGGAGGGACATAATCTGTGCTTTGGGAAGGCCACTCTGGCTGTGTGTGTAGAAGCAACGAAGGGGGGTGCATACAGAGTGGGGAGGGTCACAGACCAGATAGAGGCTGTCTGCCGGGGATGGCAGGAGCAGCACAGATGGAGCATTTTCTTAGGAGGAGGGTTTGTTAGCAGGAGCCATCCTAACACTGCCTGGTGGCTAGGAGGAAGGCAAACGAAGGCTGCTGTTTCTTCTTCCCTCTGTCTCTGCCTTGCATCATGATCTTAGTTCAAGCAATATTTGGGACAGAAAAGCTAAATTCCAGAGTAGTCAAGAGTTGTTGAACTTGTTAGAGTTAGACCTGATAGGAGTTAACTGTATATTGAAATCTGTCAATAACATTCATTTAGTTAGAAACTTCACATCTTCTGGATTTCTATAGTTTTTTTTTTTTTTTTTTAAGCCAGTCAAATTTAGCAGTAGCGGGTTTCAATAGGGGTTTTATTCTTAATAAGATTGCTTTCTTGGTGAGGGAAAATTTAATACAGCTGCTATTTTTCTTAAAAAGAATCATATCTCTTAAGAAATTTAATATTTAAAAGATTAGAAATATTTAAAAATGATAAAGGAAGATTTTGGTACAGTTGCTTTGGTTTCTGAATTGATATGGAGTTAGAAGCCTTTGCATTATTTAATAGCATATCCTTGCCAATATTTAAAGAGCTGTTAGTGAGCATGCCAGGCCCTGCCCTCTGAAAGCATTATTGAAGCTTGCTCTGAAAGAGTGAAGATAAAGGTGTTGTTTCCTAAAGCCAAACGGTTGGCTAATAATATGCAGCATCTCTCTCTTTATAAAATAATAATAGGTTTGAAGTTAAGAAAGTGGAACATAATTGATTTTTTAAAAAGCTAAAACATAAACTTTCTTATGATAATGTTGCAATTGGAAAATCTGAAAAGAAATATCCTACTCTAATATTGTCTAAGTGAAATACATGGTAGAAGTCCTATATACCTATCACCTTTAATCAGTCACTTGGCAGTCAGTTTTTGAAGTCAGGACCACTCTAGCTCACATCACTGGCAATGATTTTTGCTGGCTTTCAATTATAGAGCCTAATGTTGCCTTCTTAGCATTTTTTAGTAGCAAGAGAATTGAATAGTGCCTAGTCAGTGTGCTTTTTGGGTGGGAGTCATGTAATAATAATGATGTATTTTCGTTGCATTTTATTCTTTAGACATTACAAGAAGCGGTGCCAAGGACGCATGCGAAAACACGTGGGGGATTTATGCCTTCAGGCGGGGATGCTGCAGGACTCCTTGGTGCATTACCACATGTCGGTGGAACTTCTCCGTTCAGTGAATGACTTTCTGTGGCTTGGAGGTAAGATTATTTGGTGAAGATGATCTGGTATGTAGTTGTTTCAACTGTTGTTTGAAATAAGAGGAAGCAGAAAAAAAAAGTCTCTAAAAAGAAAGGATGAGGGAGGAAAGCAGCCGGCCTGTGCTGGTTGCCAGGAAGAGTCACCTGGGGAGGCTTCCCTGCCTCTGCCACCACCTCTGCCGCCCGGCCTGCACGGCGTCCTCTGGAGGAGGCACTTCACATGAGTTTCCTCCACGACTGCTGCGTGTCCTTCCTCCTGTCCTTCCTCTTAGCATATCCTGCCCTCTGCTAAGAATGCCATTCCCCATGGACTTCATCTCTTAACTCATTCTTCAAAACCTCCTGTGTATGTCAGAGCATGAATGAATAAGCAGAATGTGGTATGTACATGCAGCGAAATATTATTCAGCCTTAAAAATGACTGGAATACTGATGCTGCTGCAGCAGGGAGGAACCTTGACCGTGTTGTGCTCAGTGAAAGAAGCCAGACACAAAAGGCCACATGCTGTATGATTCCATTTACGTGAAGTGTCCAGAGTAGGCAAATCTGTGGAAGCAGATTTCCTGGTTGCCAGGGGCAGGGGAGCAGGGGAATGGGGAGTGACTGCTGATGGGTACAAGGTTTCTCTTTGGGGTGAGGAAAATGTTCCAGAATCAGATAGTGATGTTGGCTGCACAACTGTGAGTATACTAAAAACTGCTGAATTGTACACTTTAAGTGGGTAAATTTTATGATATGTAAATTATATGTCAGCTTTAAAAATTAAAAGAAGAAAAAGAAAATCTACTTCAAAGGACAGCCTTTTCTGACCCCTCCAGGCAGTCAGGCAGAGCTAGAACTCTATGTTGGAGCTGATCCTGGTGCTCAAATTGCTTGTTTATGTGTTTTTTCCCCCTTTAGGGACTGTGTCTCCTGGGGGTGGGAGTGGAAGGCATGGACTATGTTGTTTTCATCTGGATGTGTCCCCTAGCGTATTGTAGGTATTCCTAAAGATGCTTGTTAAATGAGTGTTGTGAGAGTAAGGACTAAAATAGGGTTAGTGGAGTTGTCCAGTGGCTGCCTGACTCCGGGCATCACAACAGACTGAATGCAGTAGCAAACAGAAGGATCCAGTTGACTTGTATTAATTCGGACATTCAAGACATCTATAGAAATGTAAAACATTGTTGTTCTTCCAGTATTTTTGTTTTGGAAAACAAATATTTTTCATAAAAATGTTAAGACATGATAGGCTTATTATTATTTTAAAAGGAATTAATACATAAATATTTAAATCCTTTTCCCAGTTTTATTTTCCAATATGGTGAATATTTATAGGTATAACCACATAAAAATCCTTTGTGGTCATTAGTAATTTTTTTTTAAATTTTTTTAGAGACAGGGTCTTGCTCTGTCAGCCAGGCTATAGGACAGTGGTGTGATCATAGCTCACTGCAGCCTCGAATTCCTGGGCTCAAGCTATCCTCTCACCTCAGCCTCCTGACTAGCTGGGACTATAGGCACGTGCCACTATGCCTGGCTAATTTTTAAATTTTTTTGTAGAGACTGGGGTCTCCCTATGTTGCGCAGGCTGGTCTTGAACTCTTGGCCTCAAGCTATCTTCCTGCCTTGGCCTCCCAAAATGTGGGGATTACAGGTGTGAGCCATCGCACCTGGCTAATCCTTAGCAATTTTTAAGAGTGTCAAGGAGTTTTGAGACCCAAAGTTTAAGAACTACTGAATTAATGAATAAAGATGAATACAGTAGCACAATTTACAAGACACGTGGCATAGCTTGAGAGTATTAGGATGTAACTGCTAATGAGAGATGTGCAGCAGGTAGGTACGGCTGCCTTTGAGGAAGAGGTAGATCTACAAGTGTTTGCTACAGCCCCAAAAGGAACAGATGCATTTAGAATATGTGGTATGGAAAGATATTCTGCACCGCTTTGGTGGTATTACTTTTAAATATTAGAGCACTTTCCGCTACACATTTCTATAGTTTCAGAATCTGGCATAGAGTCTGCCACGTGGTATTTGTGAAAATGTTGGTCACATGAATGAAGGAGGAGGCCAGCCTGTTTCACGTGTCCACTCGGCTCCTCAGTGAAACCTTGAGCATGGTAAGGATGTTGTGTTGCCAGTCTTGATGTGGGCATGGGGAAGATAGGTGGCAAGTTCCTGTTCGCAACAAAACTAGCGATCTTTAGGTTTTATCTTTGTTTTGGGGGAAAATTGGCATTTCAAAATAATTCAACTGTTTTAAATCATTCTTAGCCACTGGAATTTGAGCTAATGATGGGCCACTAACATTACTGGTTATACTTTTTTTTTTTTTTTTTTTTTTAAATGCCCAGCTGCCCTTGAAGGGTTGTGTTCAGCTTCTGTCATCTATCACTATCCTGGTGGGACCGGTGGTAAGAGTGGAGCTCGGAAGTCCCAGGGCAGCTCGCTCCCTGCTGAAACAGCCAACAGACACCGACCAGGTGAGCTCTAGTCTTTTCTGCCGGCTGTATTCATTTGCAGTCTTTAAAGAAAGCAGGAGTAATTTATTACTTTTTCCTCTGAGTTAGGCCTGATTAATGTTTAAATAAAGTATAAAATCTGTTGTCAGAAATCATGTAAGAGACATTTTCTTCTGATTTTATTGAATACATATTGATCTTATTGAATATCATTAATGGGTTGATTTCTGGAACATTTACATAAAATTTTATGGTATGACAGACTTGAGGTTCTATGTCTGGGCCTTTTTCACAACTTCTATGTACTAGGTGAAGCTAGCCCCAGAGGTCACTTTTAATAGTTAATGCAAGGCCTGGGGGCTGTTTCTTATTTTCTTGGTTGATGAAGTTCTCTTAATGAGTTATGTTTGATTTGCTTATGTTTGTTAGCACCAATGAAGAGTGAAAAAACTTCTTGGGAGGAGCAGACCCATGAATGCTGAGTGAACTTGCCATTAATGGTTCAGGATTTAGTCGTCATGTTGCATAGGTCACAGAGATAATAACAAAGAATGCAGAGCTCAAGGCCATACACAAAACTGCTAGGTATTTTTTGGTCCATGAGATTTTTTAGACATTTTTCCCCCTGAAGAGAACAAAAGGCGGTTAACGTATATTGGATGGGGAAGTGCCTTGAGTTTCTTTTTTTCCCTTAATTATATTATATCACGTCCCATGATCAGCAAAGAATGCAGAGGCTACCTTTATGAGCTTGTTATTGTAGCCACATAGTCTAAATACAGGTGTACTCTATGTACAGCTGCTTAGATGAACTATAATGATCCTTAAAGATATTTTATCGTTCTTCAGCAGAAGTTTCCTATTGGCGGTATCTCATTTATTTGAGAGGAAAGTGAAGCAGGCTGGGAGGTGCTGTTGAAAGTCTGAAGGTTTAAAATAGGCATGTCCCTGCTCCTCATTTCCCGTGCTTTGATCTGACTCGAGATGCGCTCTGTCAGTGTTCAGCACCTGTATTTGTCCCTTGTAGTTACAACTGCTGTCTCTGGTATGAGATAACAGCGGTTTAAGTTTCATTGTTTTCTCTAGTCAGCCACCAAGTGCTAAAATCTCCAACACATTCAGAAAGGTAAAAGCAGGATTAATTTTTTTGTTTAAAAGAAAGTCTTCTGCACTCTCTAGGAGTACCTTTTGTTGGAGGTGTTTTGTTGTTTTTTAATTTTTTTTTAACTGTAGTCTGAAGAGTTGTAAATGTGTTGAGACTGTCCCACTGATGTGATTAGTGAGACTGAAACTTTTTAGGGTAACATTTCATTTTTTCCCTTTTCTGAACGTAGGCAAAGAAAGTTTAAAGAAGTTGAAAAACTGCTCTGTCTGCAGTAGAGAAATGTCTTTATTTAGATTTGCACAGTGTAGAAAACTTGGGAGCTTTTTACTGTTGAAGACAGTCTGTAGGGAAGAGTATCCAGTGACACCCAGATGACAAGCGAAAGGGCAGTGACTCTCATTTAGAAGCTTAGTAATGATTTGACTCCCTTTGAAGCAGTACAGCGTCCAGATCTGTTAACAGGCTTGCTCTCAGGGACAGATATATTGTCATATCTTGGATATTAATCTCAAGATTAGTCAGTTTGTAGTGGCAACCTCATCTCACATCAAGAATTTGTGGCATCTGCAACCTGAGATGAAGACCAGACAAACTGATTATTTAACATCCTCCCTTGTATTTCATGGAATGAGTACCTCAGGTTCCCTTTTCAGCAGCAAGACAGCAGAAATACAGTTGTCATTTAATATCAGTGTGACCTGAAGTAAGTTTTTAAATCTCTTTGTCCCTCGGTTTCCTTATCTGTAAAATGGGAAAGATAATAATACTCCCTACCTGATAGGGTTGTGGTGAAGGTTGAATGAGACACACATATAAAGGGCCTAGAACACTCCTTGCCTGGCACTTGATAATGTTAGCAACTGTTCTTATTAATATTATTGTAGTTGATTGTCACATAGTCATATGAATTCAGGAATGCTATTAAAAGACTCTCAACATCTCAGATCCAGATTGTGTAGTTTTCAAGCAGTCTCCTCTGAGAAAAGGGAATGTTTTCCTTCTTAGAAATGAGTTATCTTAGTGTAAAAAACAGTTCTGTAGTCCCTGCCTCTTTTTGCTTTAATTCTCCTTTTATTTTAATTTTATGAAAACTTTAACAGTACTCAAAGGATGGGGCCACTAATTCTTTATTCTAGAGACTCGTAGATGAACCTATAAGTCTATAATTAATGGACAAAACTTTATTTAAAAATTAATAGCACATTCTGAAATCAATCCAAATGAAAATGCTTATCATTGACTTGTAAATGTTTCTTCTTTATGGTCATTTCTATTTTTTGGTCATCATCATAATTAATCAAAATAGTTGTGAATTATTCAGCACCTATAGGCCAGTGGCTGTGCTCAATGCTTCTGCTAAGTTTTACCTCTCAGCAGGCATTTGAGGGTAGGTATCAGTGGCTCCATTTCGCACATGAGGAGACTGAGGGTGGGTAAATGCCCCAAATCACTCAGCTGGTGAGTGGCAGACTTAGGATTTGAACCCAGGTTGGTTTGACTGCAAAGTATGCATTCTTAATTGCTACTGCAGTCAGCCTCCCCTTGACTGGTTGCCTGAAACTCTTGAGTTCATAAATGACAGAATTTAGTGGTCTAAGCCTGACTAGACTTTCGGAGAAGAAATATCAGTAGGAATATGAGACAAAGTGGCATAGATTGAAATTCTGCCTTTTACCAATGTTTTATTCTCAGCTAACAACCTAAAATGGTAATATTTTTATTTTCTTAGCTTTGTAAGTGCTAAAAGTAATACATTAAAAATTATCACAGTGCAAAAAAGTAGCTTTAAAAATCCAACCATCGCTAATGACTTATTGCTTGTTTTTCTCTAGTGATGCTTATTAAAAGAAAAAGTTATACTGAATTGGTTTTGTGTAGTCTTTAATACGGAAGAAAAGATTGTTAGTGAATTGAAAGTAAAAATCTATACTCCTTTCTTTCCTAATGACGAATATATAAGTTTTGTGGGATTTGGGACTTGTCAGCCTTATTTTTTATGGCCTAAATATAGTTCCTCATTTGTGAAATTAGTATAATGTTACTTAACCTTTATGGTTGTGAGAGTTGGATGCCATGTATGGAAAGCACCTAAGAGGCACTCAGTAAAAATGAGCTGTCACGGTGACAAGTTGATGAGTAGCATCAACTTTGCATAATGAGGATGGTGGTTTATTTCTGATGCATATTCAATACATACATATGTAATATATATGAATGTGATTTGAAGTGATTTGGATTCAGTTATGTTTTTGTCATGTAGTATGAAATTTTGATGAAATCAGTGTTATTCTAGTAAGATAGGCAATAGGTAAATTACCTTGCTAAAGAACTTAAAGATTGTTTGTGCATAACATGTTTTACAACTCAAAATTCATATTGCTATATAATCATCCTGTAAAACCTTTAAATGACTAGGAATTTGTCATTCAGAAGTTGACCAGAGCCGTTAAATTTAGAAAAATTGATATATGGAGCTGTTTTTGGGTATAAGCTTATCTTTTTTGTGATTGAAGAAAATTTTGATTTTTTCCTCTACCTTGAATAGGTTAAAATAATAGAAATGTTGATTTGACATCTGCTGTTTTTCCTTTGTAAAATGGAATAAAAGGGGATGTCATTGAATATATCATGCTGTTTTAATATATAAATAAATGTTTCTGTATTTCACCAAAATTGTATGATTAATAGTTGCCAGACCTTGGGAAGTTTTTTGCAGGGCACTTAGGCTATTTACTGATTAAAAAATACAGACATGACTTTTATGACTTTGGAGTTAGTATAGATCAAGGTGGCTTTTGGTATAGCACAAAATACCAGGACTAGGAATAGCTGGGTGTGATGTCTTGCATCTCTAATTCCAGCTACTTGGGAGGCTGAGGTGGGAGGATTGCCTGAGTCCAGGAGTTTGAGACCAGCCTGGGCAACATAACAAGACCCCATATCAAAAAAAAAATGCAAGAACTAGGAGAAAGCCTTGCTACTGATTGATAAAAGGACAAATTCTCTGGGCCTCAGCCTCCTTACATGTAAAATGAAGAGACTGGACCAGATGCCCAAGATTTTTCCCTGTTGTAAGATTAGTTTCTGTGAGTCTATGTCTTTTGTTTATATTTAGGGATTTTAAAGTTTTCAAATTAAGTGCTGAATACCACTCCTTTCCCCAAAGAAGAATTCAGTATGCGCTAGCTGAGGTTTTAGTTATAGTCTCTGAGCATCCTACTTAAAAAAAAAACCCTACCGATCATTTCTTATTATACGGGCAATTTATTTTGTTGCATCTTTTTCAGCAACTTCACTGGCCATAGGTGGCGCTGTTGCACCAATTATTTTAAGGTTTGTAATTTTTCCTGTTGGTAAAAGAAGGCAAATAAGGTTCCCTAATTTGATTTTTTTGTTTGTTTGTTTTTTGTTTAATGCTTCAGAATAGCACCATGTCCATTATATTTGGATACCTGGAAAAAGTATTCTAGTTATATCTTATTTTTATTCTGTCATCTCAGCGTGAAAATTTCAGGCATGCTGTATGAACAGTAGTGCAATTGGACTTTTCTTCCAATGTTAGAAACCAGTCAGCCATGATTTTATAAAAGAGATAGAAACTGTCTCTGGAGCATCTTAAACCTGAAAAGAATATTGAACTCCCTGAGTATTGAACCCAGTGTTGTATGCTTATTAGTGGGTGGTATTTTGGTATTGTGGAAAAAGCCTAGTTCAGCTGACTTGTGTTTGAATGCAGTTGCTGCCACTTAGCCCTGCTAATTGAGTCAGTTCTTGCTTAGAGTTTTTTTTCGCATCTGCGACATGGAGCTGCTAATATCTGCTTTGTAGAATTGTGAGAATTAGAGAGAATGTATGCAAAGTGTTTAGCTTAGTGGTCATCTCACAAAACATCTCATAACCATTAGCTATTTATTATTTTGTGTGAAGTCATCATTTAATAGTTTGTTTGGAAATTACTAAGGAATTAAAATAGGAAAAAATGGTTTTATGAAGAAAGACCAATTAAGAAAGGAGGGAAATATTCGTGGAGGGTCCGTAGTTCCTATACCCATGCTTTAGTGGCAACATTAGAAATGTGGCCAATAGAATCATCCTGAACCGACCATAAGTCAGAGAATTATTTGTGAATCAGTATATGTTGGGCTTTACAGGGGCCCAATAATAACACTTCTATTTTCTCTAACAACCAGTTGAGAGATGAGACAAAAGAGTAAGCAGGTAGAGAATCAAAATGTCACCTTTATTACTGGTAAAGCTGCATTTTCCATTAACTTTAGGGATGCAGGGAAATGAGTATCTTAATACTGTATCCCAGGTCTAGAAAGACTGAGCCAGTCCCAGGCAGCTGTGGACCACAGTAGGCCTTCCTATGAGGGGACCTCTCCCTGTCAGAGTTAGGGCATGGGGGAGCAGAGCATCCCATGTGCTTCCTGAGGGTAGCCAGCACCCAAGAAAGAAAGAAGGGTTTCACACACCCAGCTTGTCTCCCTAACTCACTAATCTCATAACTCACTCCATTTATGTGGGGGAGGAGTAGGGGTGGACAAGAGGTCCACAGTGTTTAGGGAAAAGCCTTTATTAAGGAAAGCAGGGGAGTGGGGAGCAAGTGCCCCTTCCCCCGGCAGTTTAAACAGGTCATGGGAGGACCAGAAGGGTGCTCTCCAGGAATTTGTAAATAGAGAAATTAAGGATATCCTTTGGGACTTAGACTAGCAAAGAAATACAAAAGATGATTGGAATGGAGACTTGTAAAATCACCTTAATAGATAAAACTTATTGAGCATTTAAAACGTGCTATACACTATTCTAAGCATTTTACATAAACCAATTTAATCTTTTAATCTTCACAACAACCTGGTAAGGTTGGTTAGATTATTATCCCAATTTTTAGATGCGGAAAGTGAGGCACAGAGAGGGTAAGTAGCTTGACCAAGGTCATAGAGCCAGTAAGTAGAAGAGCTGGGACTTAAACCCTGGCAGTGTGGCTGAGCTCCCAGAGGTTGGCTTCAGGTGTTTAGAGGTATCAGCTTATCTATAGCTCTGTATGTACGTCTGTACATCCGCCAGGGCTTGGCCAGCCTAGCAAGGGTGGGAAAGGGACAGTTATGCAAGCGTTGGCAGTTGTGTCTTGGCCGCTGTCCATAGGTGTGCACTGTGGTTCGCATCAGTCGTTTGTCTAGGCAGCAGGTCTGTCCCTGTAACGGAACTTTAGTCCATCAAGTTCATCTAGAAAAGCCCTCTTGCTCTTCTGTTCATGCTTGCCATGCCACATTGCCTCCTGCCTGTGATTTAGCCCTCGAGGAGAAAATGTGCTGAGTGTTGAACCCTGATATTCTGGCCTGATTGATAATTTTATGTCTCTTGTTACATTAATAACTTAAACCTCCAGTTTTCCTACATCAATCTCTTCTGAGTTTGGTTAATGTGAAATCATTCCATTAGGGCCTGATGATACTGATAATCAAACGATTGATGATAGTGATAACGACTCTGAGGCATCAGAAGTTTCAGTCCGATCCCCTATTTAAAGGACATGGCATAGAATAATGTATTTGATCAGGTTTTTCACAGAAGAAAAAGTTTGTGGGGTTGTCTGGAAATCCAGACTTCTCCAAGGTTCCATGTAGCTGAATATCTGCTCAGTGCAGATCTGTCAGCTCATTGTCACAGGCCATGGTGTCATGGGGTGTGTGGTGGCGGGGCATTCCTTGGCTCCTCTGAGCTTCTATCTCCTCATCTGCAGTGCAGGGTTAATGATATCTGTCTATTAATCCTTTGTAGGGTTGCTCTGAGAGTCACTCATGATGTTTGTCAAGCATTATGTTTGACGTAGAGGTGGTATTCAATAGAAAACACCTTTTTTTTATTTTAATGGTGGTTTCAAGATTGCAGTGATTTTTAATCTGTATTTAAAAACAGATTGCTATAAACAAAGTAGCTCTTAAATAACACCATCATCATGGGGCCCATTCTCAATATAGACAATTGAATAAGAATACATTTTCAATAAGAATACATTTTACTGGGACATAACCTTTTTGAATCTTCTTAATATGTTTAAAAATGATAATACAGCCTGAGCAACATAGCAAGACCCTGTCTCTATAAAAAATAGGAAAAAACATTAGCTGGGTATGATAGCACATACCTATAGTTCCAACTACTCAGGATGCTGAGGCAGGAGGATCTCTTGAGCCCAGGAATTTGAGGCTGCAGTGAGCTATGATGATGCCACTGCACTCCAGCCTGGGCAACAGAGCAAGACCCTGTCTCAAAAAAAAAAAAATGATAATAGCTAACAATAAACACAACTCTCAGAACTAGTATCTATTGGTGTGTGTTTTGCCATGATAGGAAATTACATTCTACAGAGAAATCTAATTGGATTTCTCTGATATTTGGGATAGCAGATGATCAAGGTCTTCAAAAACTTATTGATCATAGTATTTTAAATTAACTACAAATCTACCTTCTAAAAGTTGGAAATCCTTAGCTTGATGAAGTGTCCAGTAGTTCAGTGTGTGTGTGTGTGTGTGTGTGTGTCTGTGTGTCTGTGTGTGTGAGAGAGATAGACATGGAGACAGACACAGAGACAGACTGAGATTTTTTAGAGAGGCAGTGCAAAGTTCCACATAGTCTTCTGGTAACTTTTCTTCTTTTCTCTCCCACTCCAGATGCTGACATATGTTTGCACAAATAATATTCCTTTGTCACTTGACTTGTTTGTGGAAATAATATATACTTGTTTAACACACTGACTGCCATGCGAGTTGTATTTAACTCAGGCTAGTTTTGAGCCCAGGGCCTCCTGAAGCAAAACCCTGCAGTTGGTTAGTGAAAATCTTACTTACTTACTTACTGATGTTCTTACTGTTACAATTAATATTGACAATTTAATTTTAAAAATGTAGATTGCAATGCATATAACTCATGCACAGAAAATAATAAAAAACAGCAAATTAGAAAGGCTTGTTTTGTTTTGACAAAACATTGTGGCCCGGGGGAAAAAATTTTTTTTTCTAGTGTGGCATTCAGTGTTTCTTGAAGAGTTGGGGGCATGAGCTTAGAAAGTGGGGAGGGAAAGAGGTGAGGAGGCGCTTTCCAAATTTGTTTAGGATATGAGTAACGGTAGCTTTTCTTTTCTTTTTTTCCTTCTGAAGTAAAAAATCACTAAACTTGTAACATACTGTTATTCAGAATTGCTTTTCTGATCACATACAGGTTTCTCAGATTTCAAGGCTATGTGAATTGTGAAATGTGTTTTAATAGTTATCTTTAAAAGTAGTTTTGTTTTCCAAATAAAAGACCATAATCTGTTCTTTCTTCCAGGGGCACAAGAAGTTCTCATTGATCCAGGTACATGATCTATGTGTTCAGTTTCTTTTGGTTATTTTTTTAAGTGCTTGTTTCATGGTGGTGTGAATGAATGGTTAAAATTTCTGGATTATGATCTTTGGAACATTCTGATTTAAGTAACTTTAAATCAGAACTGTTAAAAACCTGATTGTTATTTGGTCCTTGTTTGATGGGGCGCCCTATTGCTTTATGTTGTCTGTTGAAGAGGAAAATTCTTCTTCTAGCATGGTTAAGTCAATGATTTGAGAATTGTACCTTTAATTCTTTGAATGCATTGAGCATGTGTATCCTGTTAATTTTGAATTCATTTGTAGTAATGACTTGGCTCTGATTCTATGGCTTGTGTTCCCTACAACATGTATTTGAATTCTCTACTGCATTTTGTCTATGTGTTCTTAACAGGGAAAGACATTTTGCATTTTTTACAGAGGCGGGCCTTTCTTTCCCCTCTTAATACCTTCTGTAATTGATACAGCAAAAATCTCTTTTATTGCAGTGCTTATTTCATGATGAGCTCTATTGTCTTCTGATTTGATCAAAAACAATGACAGCGTAAATAAATAAAAAAATGAAGCACAACCAGGTAGTTGTGCTTGCACAGGCTTAGCGACAGCACGTTTACTTTCATCTCATTGTGCATCTTGATTCTGAAATGAAGCTGCTTCAGGTTTGCAGATTTCTGTTTTAACATTTGTGTTCAATTCTTTTTCTAGGCTGATGGTTAAGTTTCCTGATAGGTTTGTGGAAAGTGTAGCGAAAGACAACAAATACTTAGTTTTGTTTTTAGGAGACCTGAGTTGTTGATGAGAGAACAACTTGACACAGTCAGGCACGTTGTAGGCTTCATGTGACTGAGAAACTGAAGGCCCCCAGCCAAAATTGATGAAAACTTAAATCGATATTGAATGTATTTGTATTGGTATTCGACCATTACAAGTTATTTACCCCAGGCTGGCTAGTTGTGCCTGATATAAAATACTGAGTTCCAATGTGTCAATCACTTTAGTTGTAGGAGAATTAGATGTGTACACAAATAAGAGTAGCTTAGAGCTACACAAAACATCAGTCATTTGTTGAGATAAAAAAGGAATACATTTTTTTATTTCTGAGACGTTTCAAAGCAAGATTGTATAGGGATGAAATTGAGTTAAGAGAGCTGGGAGTAACATTGAGGATGATTCTGTAGGGCTTTGTTATTCAGTGGTGTGACAAGATCCTACTATCAAGGTGAAAACCACCAGGAAAGGACGCAGGGACCAGTGTTTGGTGTGGAAGCCATCTTTTGTAATGTTCCTAAATTAGAACAGTGTGAACTTGACTTCTACTCACCCAAGGCAGAGCAAGTAAAGAGATGAGATTCTACTCTTGCCCACATTCAGTTCCCACCTTCCAGGTGGCTCCCATTGGCAGCTTGTGCCTTCTGGCCTCTGCTCGAAGGGGCCTTTGTATCTGGACTGACCTGCTACTAAAATCTTACCTGTCTTTTAAGTATTGGTCCCTCCTCTGCTATCTAAACCCTGCCAGTATGTCAGTGGTGAGTGTGTCGGTGGGGAATCTTCACAACTCCTAGGAGCACTGTGATTGGATTCTTCAGAGCCTCTACTTCTGAGCAGCTAACATTCTCTCAGGGGTTATATTAATACAATTGTTTGGCTCCATAGAAAACCCATTCACATGAAGGTAACACAAAATTACATTGTTTTCATTTTATTTTTGAGTTTTAAATGGATATAATGTTTGAAGCAAACTGTTTCAGAATTTTTTTTTTCTATCTGCCTTTCCTATAACTATTTCCAGAACCAGAGGGACAAGAGTTGGAGGGTCTTTGGGGGCTCTCTCCACTACTCATCCTAAGCCCAAAGCTTCTCCTCCTGGCATTTCTAATAGTTAGGACTTTGGGTTCTTCCTCTGCATTTTAAATGGAATGATTCTTTTTTAAAACTCTTTTTTTCTTGTTATTTCTAAACATTTATTGTACTGGCAACAACTACTTCAAGTAAAATGATCTTTTGGATCATTTTACTTAACTCATATTTGCTTTTCCCATACTCATGCTGAAGGCAGTGAGTTTCTTCCTATAATAAAAGTTAGCAGTTTGCACTCACTGTGCCAGAGGCACTGTCTAAGGCAGCAGTCCCTAGCCTTTTTGGCACCAGGGACCAGTTTCATGGAAAACAATTTTTCCACGGACCAGGGGGTGGCGGGGTGGTTTCAGGATGATTCAAGCACATTACATTTATTAAATACTTTATTTCTATTATTATTACATTGTAACATATAATGAAATAATTATACAACTCACCATAATGTATCCTCTCTGCTAATGATAATCTGTATTTGCAGCCACTCACCAGTAGTAACATCTCTGCCTCAGCTCCGCCTCAGATCATCAGGCATTAGATTCTCATAAGGAGTGCACAACCTAGATCCCGCACATGCTCAGTTTACCGTGGGGTTTGAGCTCCTGTGAGAATCTAATGCCGCCACTAATTTGATGGGAGGTGGAGCTCAGGTGGTGATGCGAGCAATGGGGAGCAGCTATAAATACAGATGAAGCTTCACTCCCTGGCCTGCAGCTCACCTCCTGCTGTGCGGCCCAGTTCCTAACAGGCCACTGACCAGTACCAGTCTATAGCCTGGGGGTTAGGAACCTTTAAGATGCTTAAAAAAAGAAGGCTTTGATATAACTCATCCATTTAAAATGTAAAATTCTGTGGTTTTTAGTATATTTATAGAGTTATGCAACCCTCACCACAATCAATTTTAGGACATTTTCATCACCCCAACAAGAAGCCCTCTACCCATTAGCAGTCAGTCCCCATTTCCTCTGTCCTCCCCCATCCCAGGCAACTACTAGTCTACTTTCTTTCTCTATGGGTTTACCTATTCTGGACATGTCATATAAAAGGCAACATAAAATATGTGGTCTTTCGTGACTGGCTTCTTTAACTTAACGTAATGTTTTCAGGGTTCTTCCTTGTTGTAGCATGTATCAGTACTTTCTTTTTACTGCTGAATAATGTTCCATTGTGTGGACATTCCACATTTTGCTTATCTAGTCCATTTATTGATGTACATTTTCATTGTTTCTGCTTTTTGGCTATTATGCATAATGATGCTGTGAACGTTTGTGTATAACTTTTTGCATGGACATATGTTTTGAATTCTCTTATGTATATGTATAGGAAGCAGAATTGCTGGGTCATATGGTAACTCAAATGTTTAACTTGTTGAGAAACTACCAGATTGTTTTCCAAAGAGCCTGCACTACTTTACATTCCTACCAGCAAGGTGTGCAAGTTCTAATTTCTCTACATCTTCCTCAACACTTGTTACCTCTTTGACTCTAGCTATCCTGGTGGGTGTGATGTGGTATCTCATTGTGGTTTTGATTTGCATTTACTTTATAGCTAATGATGTTTAGCAGCTTTTGATGTGCTTATTGGTCATTTGTATATTTGCTTTGGAAAAATGTTCAGATTCTTTATCCATTTTTTAATTGGGTTATTTGTCCTTTTATTATTGAGTTGTAGCAGTTCTTTTTATATTCTGTATATAAGTCCTTTATCAGATACATGAGCAGCAAAAATTTCTTCCATTCTGTGTATGGAAGAAAATTTTCTTGATGGTATCCTTTGAAACATACTAGTTTTAAATTTCGAGTAAGTCCAGTATGTTTTCTTTCTTGCTGCATTTTTGGTATCTTACCTAAGATCTAAGGGATTTTATATATACTTTACATCTAGAGCAATTTAATCCTCACAATTCAAATAGATATTTACTGTTGTTATCCCTAGTCTATAGATGAGGAAACTACGATGAGTTCATTTCTGCATCACTTACTCTCCACTAATGATTATTGCTATTTGACCTAACAAAGTCATAATTAAGCCTTTTCTGGTTATCACACTAAAAGTGGAGTCATGACTACAGAAAGTTCCAAGAAAGTATTTGATTGGTTCCATTTTGTTAACCAGTGGGGGCTGGGCAGTGTTGGGCTGGGCAGCCCTTCCGGAATAGGATCATTGTCTTCCTTTTATTTCATTTTGTTTCCTCCTGGTGTCTAGCATAGTTCCTTGTTGTCCAGCAGATTAGTTAGAACATGATGCTCTTGAATCATTGTCAGTAATGACAGAATTTTGACAACAGTATCTGTTGTTTGTTTCACAGTAGCAATGATTCTGCCTACATTAAACCTAAAACAAACCTACACTGAACTCTGTCTGCAAGGTGAATGAAAAGATGAGGTCCCTAATGAGAAAAAAAAAAAACAACAAAAAAACTA